ACGGTGACTTATGACGGTGACGTATGACGGTGACTTATGACGGTGACTAATGATGGTGACTTGTGACAGTGACGTATGACGGTGACTAATGACGGTGACTTGTGACAGTGACTTATGACGGTGATTTTAGACGGTTAGACAGACTTATGCACGGTGGCATCACGCTAGTGCATCGATGAGAAATATCATAGAGAAGGAAGCGTGGAAGCCTTGCTGGCTTGCGATAAATGTTTATGTGCATTGTCTCAGTATGTGTATAACGTGCTCTGATTTATTACGACTGGTTGAGGCAGCACTGAGTACAGTGAGCTATTCGTATAATAACTGGCCTGTACGTGAGTGGAGGTTGCTGGATGGATGAAGGCCTACAGCTTCCACCACTGCACTGCAGTGGCGTAGCTAGGATTTTTTCAGTGGGGGGCACTGGGGGGGCCTTACATTTTTGTGGGGGGGGGCACAATATACAACTTTTCTTTGTATTATACAGTTCTAACGGCATTGTTTTTAAATCAATTTTTTTTATCAAACATGAATTTTCAGTGGGGGGGGGGCACCTGGGGGGTGAGGAGATGAGGAATGAGGACGAGAGATGAGAAGAGAGGGAGAGAGAGGAGAAGAAGGAGGGAGAGAGAGAGAAGAGGAAGAGGAAAGGAGAGAGAGGAGAGAGAGAGAGTGAGAGAGAGAAGAGAGGAGGTCGAGAGAGACGGGGAGAGAGCGAGAGAGAGGAGAGGAAGAGACGATGAGAGAAAGGACGAGAGAGAAGGAGACAGAAGGAGACGAGAGAGAGAGAGAGAGAGAGAGCGAGAGAGGGAGAGAAGAGAGAGAGAGAGAGAGAGAGAGAGGATGAGACGAGAGAGTGAGAGAGCGGTCCACTTTCAATTTAGCTTGAAGTAGTTAACAAAACAACTCATGGATCCAATTGTAGGTAGTGATGAGAGACAGCCAGGCCAGCCTATAGATGTCGACATGAAGTGAGAGCTTCTCATCGCGCAACGCGCAGCGCAGCGTAGAGAGTGCAGCGCCCACCTATGCAGCCCCAACAACAGCCTGAAGCCGAAAGTCTGTTGTACTGAACCGTCTCAGGATAAAAGTGGTTGAGCCGCATCGGATATCCTAACCACTGAAGACATAAGGTTGTGCGGCCGCCGCGCAGTGCCTCGTCTATTAATTAGCTGCGCCAGCATGAGTATATTAATTCTGGTATGGCGTATGAGTTCAGCAGGAAGAGAGATACTATACACTCTAGGCCTTCTTGCACAAACTAAACAGACTTATATAGAGAGTGTAATGCGGAGGAAGGGAAAGGGCGGAGAGGAATGTAGAAGTACTGCAGAGATGAAGATTAAGCATAAGAAGAAGAAGGGACAGGAAGAAGGAGGGACACAGACGAGAAAAGTCAGTGAGATAGAGAAGGAACGAGAGAGACCACGAAACGAGGAGAGAGAGAAAGGAGAGAGAGAGAGCGAGAGAGAGACGAGAGAACGAGAAGAGACGAGGAGAAGATGGAGAGAAGAGAGAGATAGAGAGTTGAGAGAGAGAGGAGAGAGAGAGAGAGAGAGAGAGAGAGAGAGAGAGAGAGAGAGAACGAGAGACAGAGAGAAAGAAAGAGAGAGATTAGTAACATAGAAAATGTGGTAGGAAGATAGATATATGTGATGAGTAATCATTAAAAGTTTGTTCGTTTTGAAAACGTTACGTTAAAGAATATTTTTTCATTCCACATATGCATGCAATACTTAATGTTTCACCGTAAGGATATATAAATAAAGTTTGTATACCTATTCTCATACGACGTTCATTATTCACACAATATTATAAAATGAGGAGGACATTTGTTTGGAGAGTGAGTCAAGCTTTACTACTAGTGTAATTGTTATACAGTTATCGTAATAATGTTAATATCAGATGTATGACAGCTGATCGCTGCCTTCACAATGGCCTATGAACTACATACGGAATGGCGGAACAGCACTATCAATGTTTTCTCTGTTTTTTTATAAAGGCATTGGATATGTCGTGCTAAAAGAATCACTGCGAGAAAACAAATGGCTCCATAAATTCATTGCCATTGCCCCTGCCTACTCTTAAACTCCCAGCCCATTTATAAAAGGCAGTGTTCTGCTATTACTACAGTGCCTACACTTCATTCGGCGCTGATCATATGCAGCTTAACTCTATATAACCGTTAACTCGAGAAAATGCCATGCTCCTACACTCTACAATAGTGTAACCTTCGATAGACCTGTCGATCTGCATTTCTTATGATATCGAGTTTCTCACCTCCTACTCGATCATGCTAATCAATAACCCCACAATATTTCTTATCGAATTGCATTCGTACATTATCAAATCTCATCGTGCCTACACGATGACAATATCTAACCGTTGCCGAGGAGCTAAGACCAAACATGCCGCTTACCCCGCTTGCTTGCCTGGATCTCACGCGACCTTGATGTGTTTCTCTCTCTCCGCGCAGCAGCTTCGTAGAGCTGAGCTGAGGAGAAGCCTGCGTCTCGCGCAGGGAGCTGGCAGACATGCAGCAGCAGCTGCGTGAGCAGAGCACAAAGTACGCTCACCCTGCACGACGACACACGAAGGTCAGTGGAGGACATGCGCGAAGGCCGGCCACCAGCGCACTCGCCGATGCCGTCGTCGAAGAGTACAAGGTGAAGGTCGTTCGCACCGGCGGCAACGTCAGCCAATTCCTTCTCCTCCTCGCTCACAAGTCCCCCCCTCCTTAACTTCGCATCACAAGTCCCTCCCCCTCGCTTCGCCCACAAGTCCCTCCCCTCCTTTCGCCTCACAAGTCCCTCCCCCCTCCTTGCCGCACAAGTCCCTCCCCCCCCCCCTACTTTCGCCTCCTAGTCCTCCCCTCCCCCTACTTCCTCACAAGTCCCTTCCCCTCTACTCTGCTCACAAGTCCCTCCCCTCTACTTCGCTCACAAGTTGTTTTTTTTTCCTCCCCTCCCCCCTCCTTCGCTCACAAGTCCCTCCCCCCTACTCGCTCACAAAGGTCCCTTCTCTCCCCACACTTTCGCTGGACAAGCGTCCCCCCTACTTTGCTCACAAGTCCCTCCCCCCTTTACTTCGCTATAAGTCCCTTTCTCCTCCCCTACTTCGCTGACAAGTTCCCTCCCCCCCGTACTATTGCCTCACAAGTCCCTCCACCCTCTACTTCGCTCATAAGTCCCTCCCTCCCCCCTTACTTCAGCGACAAGTCCCCCCCCCCTACTTTGCTCAACAAGCTCCCTCCCCGACCCGTACTTCGCTCACAAAGCCTCTACTCTATCTTTTGCTCACAAGTCCCTCCCCCCCGGATGGCTCACAAGTCCCTCTACTCTACTTTGCTCACAATTCCTCCCCCCGTACTTCGCTACAAGTCCCTCATAACTCTTACTTTGCTCACAAGTCCCTTCCCCCCTACTTTGCCCCACAAGCCTCCCTCTACTCATACTCTTGCTCACAAGTCCGCTTCCCCCCCCCCCCTACCTTCGCTCACAAGTCCCTCTACTCTACTTTGCTCACAAAGTCCCTCCCCCCCCCGCGCTACTTTGCTCACAGTCCCTCCCTCTACTTTGCTCACAAGTCCTTCCCCCCCTACTTCGCTCACAAGTCCTCTACTCTACTTGCCTCACTAAGTCCCCCCCCTACTTCTCACAAGTCCTTACTCTACTTTGCTCCACAAGTCCCTCCCCCCCTACTTCGCTCCACAAGGTCCCTCTACTCTACTTTGCCTCACAAGTCCTTTCCCCCCCCCCCCCACTTCGTCACCAAGTCCCATCTACCTACTTTGCTCACAAGTCCCCCCCCCCCTTACTTTGCTCACAAGTCCTCGACTCTACTTTTGCTCACAAA